TTTTTTGTATTTTTAGTAGAGACGGGGTTTCACCATGTTGACCAGGATGGTCTCGATCTCTTGACCTTGTGATCCACCCGCCTCGGCCTCCCAAAGTGCTGGGATTACAGGCTTGAGCCACCGCGCCCGGCCTAATGTTTGTATTTTTAGTAGTGTGTTGGCCAGGTTGGTGTTGAACTCATGACCTTAAGTGATCTGCCTGCTTTGGCCTCCCAAAGTGCTGGGATTACAGGTGTGAGCCACATGCCTGGCCTGAGGGAGGATTTTTATAGAGACTATACACACACACACACACGTATATACATGAAGACTATGAGTATATTATACGTAAGCATATATATAATGTATATTTGTATGTGTGTGTATACTCACACATAAACATATATGCATAATATACATATGTATTAGGTTTTGTATGAGAATGTTTACTATGTAACAAAATTATATGATCACAAAATATGTTATGTCAGAAAGTGCTCCCACCAAGCCACCTTGTGAATTGCTATTGCCTCCTAGTGGCTGCTGCAGTTATTACAGGTGAAAATATCTAGCTGGAGGCAAAGGGAGGCCTTCTGCTATGCAGGCTGGAAACTGCCCTTACCAGAGCTGAAAAAAGACACATTTCTGCACAAAATTCACAGTATCCAGCCCAAAGTCTGACCAGAGTAGCTCCCAGGGCATCAGAGTCTACCATATTTTCAGAATACTGACACTCACCTCGGACCTGGAAGAAGACTGAGGTGTTGGCTGATCCAAGAACGTTTGTGGCCTCACAGAGGTAGCTGCCAGAGTCCTCAAGGCCCAATTCTCGGACCTCTAACTGCAGGGAGTTGGCCTCAGCCTTAGCCCGGAGCCGGCCTTGGGATGGGAGCTGGGGACCCAGGCTGGTGGTCAGGAGGTGCTCCCCGTGGAACAGGGCCAGCAGGGACAGGGGGTGGCTGTCCACAGTGCAGACAAACACAGCCATGTGGCCCTGGCCCATGTCTAGGAGGGCCGACAGCTTCGGAGGGTCTGGGGGATCTGCAGGAATCAGAGGAAACAGAGGGAGCTGAGGCCACCCCAGCCCAGCTCACCACATTACAACTGCCACGCTATGTCCCCCACCCCCTGCCACACACACAGCCCAAGCCCTGCTCTTTCCTCTCAAATCCCAGCCCAGCCCCTGCTTCTCCCCAGACCACCCCTCCACCCTCCAAGTCCCCAGGCTGCCCTTGCCAGTCACCCACAGAGTACATTCAGGAGCACGGGAGTGGAGAGCTGGGTGCCAGCCTCGGTGAGGATGCGGCAGGTGTAAAGGGCAGCATCAGTCCTGGCCACGGGCAGCAGCGTCACGGTCTCCAGGGGACCCTGGGCCCACAGCACCCCATTTCGGAACCAGGAGAAGTTGGCAGGGCTGCCCGCGGCTTCCCGGCTCACGTTGCAAGTCAGGTTGGCCTCTGTGCCCTCCTGCAGCGTGTGTGATGGTGCAATGACCAGGACAGTGGCTGGAGAGCAGGCAGCACAGGCTTACTGACCACCCCCGGCCTGGAGGAGCCAGAGGTCCAGCTGCCCAGCCTGGAAGGAACAGGAAGGAAGCGCCCTGGGGTGCCCACAGGGTGAGGGAGAAAAGCAAGCCAGCTCACAGGGAGCCTAGGAGAAGTGGGTCCTGGGGACTGTGGGGGCCCTGGGCAGAGAGGGCGCAGCACGGGGAAGAAGGACAAGGCAGTCCAACTGTCCCAGCTGGGAAGCCCTTCCTCAGAGACCAGCTGTGTTGCCTGCCCCCGGCCTGAACAGTGAGCACAGGAAGGAGCAGCTCTGCCCTTCCTGAATGTGGAGAGGGCAGCAAGGGGCCCCACTGCTGCACAGAGTGCTTTTACCTGATTAGATCGTCCTCAGAGCAGAGCAGTCCAGAGCTCCAGCCCTGCCCACAAGCCACCCATTCCCTGCCTGACTCACCCTGGCCATTGAAGGTGGCGGAGGCGGAGGCGTTGCCCAGGGCATTGCTGGCCTCACAGAGGTACAAGCCCTCCTCCTCCAGCAAAGGGTTGTGAATCTCCACGCGCAGCAAGTTGGGGCCTTTGCTGACCTTCATTCGTGGGGAACAGCCCCCACAGGTACTGCAGCCACCCCCTAACGGCAGGGAAGTGGCCACCACGCGGTCCTTGTGGAGCAGCTGCAGCCGGGCTGGAGGGTCGCTGTCCACACGGCACAAAAGGAGGCCTCGCCGTCCAGCCCCGGCCCCAGCAGCATCGAGGTCCAGCCTGGTGGTGAATATTGGTTGGCGAGGGGGGTCTGCAGGGAGGAAGAACAGGGACACTCATTCCACGGTCGCTGCCAGGCCCTGCAAGCCTGGCTAGGCTCCCAGAATACACTGGACAAAGGTGGGTCCCTAGGGCTGCCCCAAACAGCTGTGCAGATTGTGCACTGCACAAGAGCAGCCAGGCCAGAGTGGGTGGAACTCAGCTCATGCTCCTCAAGCTAGGCTGTGCCTTGATGCTGAGTCTTCCCAGAGGAAGGAACACCATTTTCTAGCTCAGACAGAGGTGCTGTATGGGCTGGCTGCCACCTTGCGTGAGTCCCACCTGCTGCTGAGCAGGGTGCACCTAGCAATCCCTTGGGGTCCTGCTCTCTCCCCACCCTGACCACGGAGCCTCTCCTCAAGATCTGCCCTGCATCTCATCTCTGGTCTCCAAGCCAGCTCCCTTGATGCTAGCTAATGCATAGAACGGCCTCTTCCTAAAGGCTTCCGGAGACAGGTGGCCAAAAGAGAGGCACCAGGCAAGGCCCCCATGTGATTTCACGCAGACACCAGAAAAGCTTGCAGAGGCGGCTGCCCTCTGACAGTCCCAGGACATGGTTCCAGCACACACGTGTCAGAGGAAGCCTCTGGAATCAGGCCCTTGATCTCATAGGAGCCGCCCCGCTTGGTGGATGCAGAGGGGCCATCTGTCCCTGTGCTGCGGGGCTCTGCCTTGGTGTCTATGGGAGCCCAGCGCAGCCTGTGGGGCAGGTGCACAAACAGAAGAGTGTGATGTCCGGAGCTCACCCATGAGGACAAAGCAGGGACGTGGTGCCCACGCTGGGTTTGAGGCTGGGATAGAGGAGCCCACAGGGCTGGGATTGGACGGTAAAGATGTGGGAAGATAGAGAAGGCCCCAGCCTCATTCCTAAACTTCAGCCCCAGGGGGAGAGGCCCATCATGGCCAGGCCTGTGACCCAGCCCTCCTGATACAGACCCCGGGGCAGGGCAGGGCAGGGCTAGGGGGCCTGGAGGAGGTGAGGTGGCTGGTGGGTCCTGGCATGAGGCTGCAGCTGGCAGTGGCTGCTCACAGAGCACAGTGAGGACGGCTGGTGAGGAGGGGCCGCTGGTACTGTGGCCATCCTGGGCCCGGCAGTGGTATGAGCCGGCGTCAGTGCTGGAGGCCGCGGGGAGCAAGAGGCTGCTGCTGGGGCCTTCGAGAAGCAGGGCTCCGTTCAGGTACCAGGAGAAGCGGGCATCAGGCGTGGGGTGCAGGCCGCTTCTGCAGCTCAGCGTCACTGCCTGTCCTTCCACCACCTCTGCTGCCGGGCTGATGAGGAGGCGGGCGGCTGCGGGGAGAGGGAGAGGCTGGGAGGGGTCCCGCCTCCTGACCCTCCATGCTGCCCTATGCAGAAAGCCCTCAGAGTTCTCCTCTCCATGCACTACTGCAGGTAGCTTCGGGCTTTGTGGTGGGTCAGGAGGGTTTGCCTTTGAATGCCAAGTCAGATCTATAGATGGGAGCTGGCTGCAGCCTGGTTAAGGATTCAGAGCCTCTCGGATGTAATGGTTTCAAAAAAGAAAGAGAAGAAGAAAGAAAGAAAGAAAGAAACAGAGAGAGAGAAGGAAGGAGGGAAGGAAGGAAGGAAGGAAGGAAGGAAGGAAGGAAGGAAGGAGGGAAGGAGGGAAGGAGGGAAGGAGGGAAGGAGGGAAGGAGGGAAGGAAGGAAGGAAGGAAGGAAGGAAGGAAGGAAGGAAGGAGGGAAGGAGGGAAGGAGGGAAGGAGGGAAGGAGGGAAGGATCCAGAGCCAGAGCCCAGGCTTACGTCCAGCACCTGGCTTGTGGGCGCGTGGTAGCTCAAGCCTGTAATCTTAGCACTTTGGGAGACTGAGTCGGAAGCAACGTTTGAGGCCAGGAGTTCCAGACCAGCCTGGGCAACACAGTGAGACTCCATCTCAAACAATTTTTTTTTTTTTTTTTGGAGACCAAGTCTCACTCTCTTACTCAGGCTGGAGTGCAGTGGCACGATCCGCGATCCCGGCTCACTGCAACCTCTGCCTCCCAGGTTCAAGCGATTCTCCTGCCTCAGACTCCTGTCTAGCTGGGATTACAGGCATGTGCCACCACGCCCAGCTAATTTTGTATACTTGGTAGAGACAGGGTTTTACCATGTTAGCCACTCTGATCTCGAACTCCCCACCTCTGGTGATCCACCTGCCTTGGCCTCCCAAAGTGCTGGGATTACAGGCATGAGCCACAGCCCTGAGCCAGAAGACCCTGCTTAACTATTTGGCTTCCCACATCTGACTGCTAGCATAGAACCTGCCCCCAAAGTTTCATAAATAAAAAATAATGAACACTTCTGAGGGACTCTCCAAGTTTAGAATCAGGGTATCTGCAAAAGGAATGATGTGACCTGCCGTGTTTCCCTTTTTGCCTTGACTTTCAGGAAGCTCTGAGGTTGGGTGACTGCATAGCCCCAGTCTTTTATGTTACCTAGGCAGCTAGTTCAGCCCTGCCGTCGAGTCCACTAGACTTCTAGAAGGAAGGGGCTGGAGCAGGCTCCTCCTCAGGCTCCCTCCACCCTCCCTGGCTGCCGGTGCCCGTCTTACCATTGGCATGGAAGTCCAGGGTGGAGGTTGCATTTCCAAGGGAGTTGGTGGCTGAGCACTTGTATTCCCCACTGTCAGCTTCTTCCAGGTCTCGGATCTCCAGGCGCAGGGAGTTGGGACCAGAGGTGCCGCTGAAGCGTGGGCTGTGATCGCCACCCCCAGAGGTGGAGGCCAAGATATGACCCCCATGTGACAGCACCAGTATGGCCAGGGGCTCACTGACCACAGAGCAGTGAAGGATGCCCACAAGCCCCGCCTGGGTCTCCAGGAAGGCTGTTAGGACCGGGATGAGAGGTGGGTCTGTGTGGAGACAAGAGGCAGGCCTGTCACCCTGTGATGGGGGCACTCCCTGGATACCCTGATACAGCCCATGACCTCTGCACCTCTTTGACCCACCTGCTCTGACCATGTCCAGTGTCACCCCACCCTGGCCACTTACGGTTGACTACCACGCTGACAGCGCCTGAACGCTCGCTGCCTTGGGCGTTCTGCACCTCGCAGAAGTAGAAGCCGGTATCAGCCCTGGTGGCCGCGTGCAGCTGGAGGGTGTGGGAGTGGGCGTCCTCCAGCGGGACGTGGTTCTTGTACCAGTGGTAGCGGAGATCGCTGGGTGCCTCGTTGGGTGTACTGCAGCCTAGTGTCACTGTCTGGTTCTCTAGGATGGGACCTGCTGGGCTCACCTGGACCTCAGCCACTGCAAGGGCAGCATAGGAGGTGCTGGGGGTCCCAGCTGACTTCCAGCCCCAGCCCCTCACAGTCCCTGGGCCTCAGCCAATCAGCCTCAATCTCTGCATATACTCCGCCACCCGCCACTGCAGTGGAGCCTCTGGGAGTGCCCTGCCTCTCTCTGTCCTGCTCACCAGGATCCCCCTGACACCCCACCCTTTGTGGGGGTATCATCACCTGTCTCATGGTAAGACAAGGCTGGAACTCCACACCTGCACGCAGGAAGCACTGAGTTATGCCAGCTGCTGGCTCTGCCCTTCCCTGTCTCCCCTCTGCCCCTAAGGCCTGAGCCCCTCCCTATTCTCTGGCCAATACGAAATCTTCCCAAGGACTCACTGAAGATATGGAGGCTGATGGGGGGTGAGACCGAAGAGCCCACGCCATTCCCAGCTTGGCAGGTGTAGACACCAGCGTCACTCCAGGCTGCCTGGGACAGCTGCAGCACACCAGTCTTGCTCTGGAGGAGCACCCCATCCTTGAGCCAGGTAATGGAGCTGACTGCAGGGTAGCTGCTGTTCACCTGGCAGGTGAGTGTGACCAGCTCACCTGGAAGGATATTCCTCCCTGAGGGGCTGAGCAGGATCTTCACACCCTTGGGGGCATCTGCGAGGCACAGTGGGGGTCATTGGGTAAGGTGTCAGAGAGGGCAGGGGATGGCATACTTCTTGACCCCCTTTCAAGGCTCTGCCCTAAGGAAGTTTGCCCAGATAAAACAGCAGTCCCCTTCTATCCCCACTCAGAGCACGTGGGGTCTGCCCACATCCATCCCTTTCCCACCACCCCTTCGCCCGATGCATTCCTTGTCCACTGAGAGCTGATCACGGGACGCTTGGTCCGGTGTCCAGCCTACTCCACCAGCTGTGGTTTTCTGCTTCCCAATGCTGTCCATTGCCCCTGCTGTATTTGGGGTGAGCTCCACACACTGGGCCATGGGTACTCCACTGCCTGCTTTAGTGGCCCGCTGGAAGCTGTTTGTAAGGGACTAGGCACCTAGTGGGAGGGGGCCAAAGGCACTATCAAACTAGTTCTGAAAATACTTACCCAGTTTGTAAGGAAGGGGCCAAAAATACAAAGAAACTACATTTCCTTAAATCTTGTTACAAAGCCTCTCTCTGTGTATTCAAGTGTTTTCTTCTTATTTTTTTAGAAACAGCGTCTGGCTCAGTCACCCAGGCTGCAGTGCAGAGGCACAGTCATAGCTCACTACAGCCTGAAACTCCTGGGCTCAAGCCATCCTCCTGCCTCAGCCTTCCAAGGAGCTGGGACTACAGGTGTAAGCCACCACATCCGGCTAATTTTTGTTTTTTAATTTTTTGTACAGACAGGGTCTCACTATGTTGCCCAGGCTGGTCTCGAACTCCTGGCCTCAAGCAATTCTCCCGCCTTGGCCTCCCAAAGCCCTGGGGTTACAGGCATGAGCCACTGCATCCGGCCTCAAGTGTTTAATGTGTGCCAGGCACTCTTCTAAATACCTTACCTCTCCTGTATTTGTTTTTCTTTTGAGACGTAGCCTCACTCTGTCACCCAGGCTGGAGTGCAGTGGCACAATCACAGCTCACTGCAACTCCATCTCCTGGGTTCAAGCAATACTTGTGCCTCAGCTTCCCCAGTAACTGGGATTACAGGTGTGCCACCACACCCAGGTAATTTTTGTATTTTTAGTAGAGATGGGTTTTACCATGTTGGCCAAGCTGGTTTCAAACCCCTGACCTCAAGTGATCCACCTGCCTCAGGCTCCCAAAATGATGGGATTACAGGTGTGAGCCGCCGTGCCTGGCCCATCTCCTTTAGTTTTCATCATAAATCGATGAGACAAGAACCATCTGTTGCTATCTTCACCACAGACATGAAAAGAACAGAGGCCCTGGGAGACAAGGAGCTTGCCTGAAGTTTCACATCTGGTGGGTGCTGGAGCCAGCAACCAGATGCCTGTGAGCAGCGCTTGTTCTAGAACAGGCTGCCCTGTTTGAGATGGAAAATGTATAACCAGTGGAAACCCGGGCTTTCTCCCCACTGACTCATAGGTGTGCCTGGGTGACAGCCTGATCACCACGGTCTTGAGCAGTCCTAAGGCGGGAAAGAGATAAACCCCACCTCCCCAGCATCCTTCAGCGAGGGGGAAATACCGGGACACCTGCTGCCAACCCTGAGGCTGCATGGGAGTGCCTGTTCCCCAACCCTTTGGGTCTCCCTTTCTCTGCCCAGCCTGGCCTCAAGGACAAGTCCCTTCGAAGCAGTAGGAGGTGAAAGGGAAGCATTGAACAAAGCTCTTGGGACTCAGGAGTGTCTCTCCACTGCCCTACCCTGGAGGCCCAGGGGCGGCCTGGCTCTGCGTCAGGAGCAAGGGCTCTGTTTCTGTGGGCTGGAGAGGGACTGGTTTCCATCAGGGAGCCACAGATGTGCTCGGTCACAAGGCTGTGTCCCCAGTCAACTCACACTTCACTTGGAGGTGAATCTTGGCCTGAGTGCTGTGACTGGCCACTGAGAGCTGGCAGTGCAGGACCCGGCCATGGTCCTGCCAGGACACAGCCATGTGGAGGGTCTCCAGGTGGCTGACGCCAGTGGGCTCAGACTTATGGCTGCTGGAGGTGACAGAACGAGCAGGGTCCTGGCCTTGCCACTGCAGGCTGACCTGCTCCTGCAGGCACATGTAGGGGGTGGAGCAGTTGAAGTCCACCTCTGTGCCCTCAAGAAGCTCGGCCGGGGAGGCGATGGTGGGTGCCCTGGGTTCCTCTGCAGGCAGAGACAGCAGTGTTCAGGACCCTTTTCAACACCCCTGAGACCCCTTGCCCTGGAAACCCCAGCTGAGGACAGCCCTGGGGAGGGGGCATTTAGGGGAAGGAGAGGCTGCTTTCTACTCCCAGCCCCACTCAAGTGAATACCAGGGAGAACCAGGCCTGGGCCTAGGCTGGGGCTGGAATGGAGGCTGGGACTGGCTGGGGTTCGAGTCAGGACAAGGGTTGGGGCAGAGAGCCCAAGCGTCCAGAAGCAGCTTGGGAACCCCTCCCGGGCGTAGCCAGCCCACCCCCCTTATCACCTGTCACTGTGACCAAGGTGCCTTTCACATCTGACCAGCGGTTGCCCTCGCTGATCTCAAAGCGGAAGTTGTAGGAGCCGGAGTCCTCAGGCCGCAGGTCCTTCAGCAGCAGGTTGCACACCCTGTGCTCGGGGTTCCCCACGAACTCGGCGCGGCCGCGGAAGTGGGCCTGCACCCGCGTGGGGTCTGCCGAGTGGCTCACCACCCACTGCCGGCCTGAATAGTCATAGTACCAGATGGTTGTGATGCCGTCGGGCACCTCCACGTCGGCAGGGAAGCTGAAGACACAGGGGATGAGCAGGCAAGACCCCTTCACGCCCTGCATGTTCTGGGGGCTGGAGACACCCCATGAGGCCCGGCCTGCAGAAGAATGGCAGGGGGACAGAGACGGGGGTGATACCGACCTCAGGGTGCCACAGAGCCCTGCAATCCCCCCAGGGAATGTGCTCAGATGGGCTCCCAGACTCTGCCCTGCCCCAAGAAATGCATGCTTAGATCCACCCTTCTCAGTGCCCTGGGGACAGTCCACTGCCCGAGGCCACTCAGAGGTTTGGGAGGGTGGCTCCAAGACAGATGGCAGCTCCCTGCCCAGCTCCCGGCCACTGCCCCCCGACCTCAGCAACCAAATCTGTGACCCAGGCATTGTCCAACCTGCCAAGGGCTGGACTTCTGCAGGCTGAGCCCTGGAAGACAGGCAGTGAGCCCTGGAAGACAGGCAGTGGGCCCGCAAAGCTCACCTGGGGAGAAGAACAAGGCCAGGAGGAGAAGCTCCGGCAGGAAGTCCATAGCACGTTCTTGTGCTGCTCCTGTTGCCTAAGAGGGTGGCACACACCACACTGCTGGGCACACAGGGGCCTCCAGGGACACCTCTGGGCACTTTAGCCCCAGCACCTGCTGGGAGTCCAAGCCTGTGTCCCCACCTCCTCTGCTGGCCAACCCAACAAGAGGGCAGGACTCTTAACCTCTGGATCAGCCAGCAGGAGACAGTCAGGAGGCCACGTTCCCAGCTCCGGCTGTGCCAAGGGAGTGCCCTCACTTGGTGGCCTGCCCCAGAAAAGCCTGTGTGTCCCTTGGCCCTATCCCAAGTTCTGCTTTCCCAGCCCCTCAAGGATACCACCCTAGGGCAGATGAACAGCTGTTTCTTCCTCTTCCCCACTTCCCTGGCCCCTCCCCACCACCCAAACCCACAAGAACTGGAGCCCAGAGACGCTCAGTGACTCACTCCAAGGCACCCAGCTAGAGTGATGGTTTCTTCTTGAAGCTTGTCTCTCACTACCTGCCTTACCAGCTATAGGCCTTCTTTTATTTATTTGTTTGTTTGTTTGTTTGCTTTGAGACAGAGTCTCGCTCTGTTGCCCAGGCTAGAGTGCAGTGGCATGATCTTGGCTCACTGCAACTTCTGCCTCCCAGGTTCAAGCGATTCTCCTGCTTTGGCCTCCTGAGTAGCTGGGGATTACAGGCTCGTGCCACCATACCTGGCTAAATTTTGTACTTTTAGTAGAGATGGGGTTTCAACATGTTGGCCAGGCTGGTCTCGAGCTCCTGACTTCATGATCCACCCACTTCGGCTCCCATAGTGTTGGGATTACAGGCATGAGCCACTGCGCCCGGCTGGTGCTGCCTTTAACAGTCACTCCCCTGCTCACAAATCTTCTGTGGCTCCCCATTGCCCGTGAGATGTGAAAGGTCCTCATTTCCTGCCCCAGCTCTGTTTCCATTTCCTGCTCCCCGCAAACCCACTCTGGAGCCAGTTCTGTCTGCTAACAGGCTCCCTAGCTGCCCAGCTCTATTTCTGCCTCAAATAATCTTTGCCTATTGAAACGTTATTCAACCTTCAAGGTGCAGCATGAATTTGGCTTCCAGCTGGAACTTCCTCTTTGAGGTTCCCGTAGCCACCCCAGAGCTATCTCTGCCCTTGCCTTGTTTTTAACAGCTTGTGAGAGCCCATTTCTCAGGACCCAGAACTGAAGATACGTGCCCCATAGCAGTGCAGAGCCCATCAGGCATTCAGCAAACCCCTTAGTGACTAAGAGAGGGCTGAGGTCTTTAGGGGTTCAGAGTTGGGGAGGGGAGGTGGCTGGGCAAGTCTAGTTTTGACAGGTGGCGTGAGAGTCCTGTGGAACACATACCTCACAAACATGAGTACAATGCCTGTGTGTGCCATATCCAAACGGGCCAGCCCTCAACCATGGAGTGCCCCAGTCAGGGAGTGTCTAAGGGATACCACAGACCTGAGTCCAAAAGGAAGAGATGCCAGAAACACATATAACTAAAATTATAAAACTCTTAGAAGACAACATAGGTGAAAGTCTTTATGACTTTGGACTAGGTAATGCTTTCTTAAGTGTGAAATTAAAAGCGCAGGGAAAAAAAATAGGTAAGTTGGACTTCATCAAAATTTAAAACTTGGCTAACACAGTGGCTCACACCTGTGAACTCAACACTTTGAGAGGCTGATGCAGGAGGATCTCTTTAGCCCAGGAGTTTGAGATCAGCCTGGGCAACACTGCAAGACTCTGTCTCTACGAAAAATTTAAAAATTAGCCAGGCATGGTGGCACAGACCTGTGGTCCAAGCTACCCTGGAGGCTGAAGTGGAAATATTGCTTGAGCTCAGGGGCAGGGGTCGAGGCTGCAGTGAGCCATGATCACACAACTGCACTCCAGCCTGGGCGACAGAGTGATACTCTGTCCCCAAAAAACAAACCACAATGTATATGCATCAAAGGACACTATCTAGAAAGTGGACAACCCACAGAATGGGAGAAAATATTTGTAAATCATTTAGCTGATAAGGGATTAATATCCAGAATATATAAAGAATTCCAATTGACAACAACAACAAAAAAACAAGAAACCCAACTCCAAAAATAGGCAAAACACTTGAATAAACATTTCTCCAAAGAAGATATACAACTGTTTAATAAGGACATGAAAAGATGCTCAGCATCACTGGCATTAGGAAATGCAAATCAAAACCACGGCTAGATACCACTTCACATCCATTAAATGGCCATTCGCAAACAGACAAAGCAACACAGAAAACAATACATGTTGGTGAGGGTGTGGAGGAATTGAAATCCTTGTGTATTGCTGGCGGGAATATAAAATGGTTCAGTCACTGTAGAAAACAATTTGGCCATTCCTCAAAAAGTCAACATAGAATTACCATATGATCCGGCAATTCCACTCCTAGGTGTATACCCAAGAGTACTGAAAACTCTAAAAAGTACTCTAACAGAGTACACCAGTGTTCACGGCAGCACTATTGCACTAAAAGGTGGAACCACGTCGAGTGTCCATCAATGAATGGACGTGGATAAACAAAATGTGGTATGTACACACAATCGACCATGGAAGGAATGGATTCTAACACGCGTGAACCTTGAAAACATGATGCTCAGTGAAATCAGCCAGACACAAAAGGGCAAATATCATAGGATTCCAATTACATGAAATATCTAAACTAGGCACATCCACAGAGACAGAAAGTAGAATAGAGATAACCAGGGGCTGGGGGCAGGGGAAGTTAATGTTTAATGGTTGCTGAGTCTCTGTTTCAGATCATGAAAAAGTTCTGGAAATAGACAGTGGTGATGGTTACACAATATTGCAAATGTACTTAATGCCATGGGTTGCACACGTAAAGAAGTTAAAACAGTAAATTTTATATTATATATATTTCACCACATACACATCCATGTCACCAACTTTGCAGTCCTCCCGGTCCTACATGCTGACTTGGCCAAGTGAACAGGAGGCTGGAAGTGGGGACAGGAAACTCATGACCTCCCAGCCCCCAGCCCATCTGCCTCAGGGGCTGAGCTCAGCAGATTCCGATGACTACCGGGGACCACACCTGGAAAGGGGCTGAGCCGAGGCCCAGGGCCGGCCAGGCTGACCAGGTGAAACTTAGCCTGGTGCAGAAAGCAGAAGGGGCACCCCGGCAGGGAGCACAGCACAGGGCCAGATGGGGACAGGAAGGACACTGCTCCCCAGGGGACCTAGCCCTCTTGCAGGGCTGCTGGAGTGGACCAGTCTGGCCATTTGTGGATGCCCAAGAGCTTGCCTCCAGTTCTCTGGGAAGTCTTAGGCTTCCTCCTCTTCCAGGAATACGCACCCACAACCTCCACACCAGGTTCTTGGCCACTGGAAAATGGTGTAGGTAGGGCCCTGGGATCCAGACACCCCACCATGAAGAAAAGCAGCCTGTTGGGCACACTGGGGGTCAGATGTGTCCCTGGCCACAGGGGATGTCAGGGTCAGCTCCGCTATGGCCAGGGCAGCTATCTTGTCCCAGATCCCCTGTTCTTTCCATCTGGGGTCCCGAAAAGGGCAATCGTGAACCCGATGGAAGAATGGTGGGGTTCTGGATACACTGATCCCAGAACAGGGTGCAGGGGAGGACCCTTTCCAGGACCACTCCAATCACATCATGCAGAGGCCACCTATGTTTAGCCCAGCCCTAACCCCTAAGGGGTCAGCCCCACCAGAGTCCCCCCTATTGGCTCAGCCTGTTCTACCACAAAAACCAGTGTCCGCCCAGATAACTGTTCTAAGAGAAAGAGCAGGGACAGCTCCAGAAAGAAGACCTGTCCCTGTTTGAAAGCCTGGTGTTAGGCTGGGCGCAGTGGCTCACTCCTGTAATTCTGGCATTTTGGGAGGCCGAAGTGGGCAGATCACTGAGGTCAGGAGTTCGAGACCAGCCTGACCAACATGGTGAAACCCCCACCTCTACTAAAAATACAAAAATTAGCCAGGCATGGTGGCGCACCCCTGTAATCTCAGCTACTCATGAGACTGAGGCAGGAGAATCGCTTGGGAGGCGGAGGTTGCAATGGCTGAAGGTGCACCACTGCACCCCCAAAAAAAAGAAAGAAAGAAAAGACAAAGAAAGCCTGGTGTTGAAGGGACAGTGCCCCCTGAGCTTGGGTTGGAGCTGTGGCCTAGGGTGCTCCCAGCGCCCCCTGGTGGTAGAGAGATTGCAGGTCCCAGGGAAGGGAGCAGCGTACCAGGAATATGGAGCAGCTCTGCAGCCCTGAACCATCCCTCCGTTGGGCAGTGACTCTTTTGGACATTATTGTCCCTCAGAGAGGAATTTCCTGAGGTTCATCCTCGGGTCTCCAAGTCCTGGGTGCTCTGAAGACAGGATTTTAAATCCCCACTCCTAGAATTGGTATGTGTTGCATCAGAGTGACTTGGGCTGGCCTGGTATACGGTGGGCACTCACATTTGCTGCCTATTTGAGACCAAGTGCCTCAGGAGGGCTTGGAGGGTGGGCTGGGACCCCAAGCCCACCTCTGATCCCAGAGGCCAAGTTCAACTGGGGAAGAACAGGCAGAGGCAGTTTCTCTGTAGACAGAAAGGCCCAGGCACAGGATTCAGTTTCTGTTTCCTGACACCAAGGCTTCTCCCCAACTTCCCCATTGGGCTGGAGAAGGAAGGACACAAGGTAGCATGGCCAGCTGGTGAGCACTGGCCTACAGATAGGGAGTCAGGCTATAGACAGGCAATTCCTGGAGCAGATTACAGTCAAAATAGTGGAAATCCCCAATCATAGGCCAAATTTTTAATTCTCAGAGCCATGGAATCCATTACTAATGTCTATTGGCTTTGCCATGGGCGGTAGAAATTTCACACTTCATTCCCTAATCTGGCTCTAAAAGCTCCTGGCTGGAGTGGCCACTCCCGGAACTGTGCTGGGTAGCACCGGAAGCCCTCCTGTAAACGGACCAAGTGGCAATGGATGAAGTGGAATGGGGCTGGGGCTAGAGAAAGGAGAGATATTGCTGGGCTGGGCTGGGGCTGGGGTCAGGGTGATGGTCAAGTTGGAATTCTGGAAGCAAATTAAGGCTGGGATTGGGGTGGACATTGAGGTTGAGTGACAGGCGAGGGTAAGGGTAAAGTCAGGAGTCGGTGCAGGTGATGGTTAAGATACGGTGGAGGCTGGGTTGAGATAAAGATAATGGAGTCGGAGCTGCAGTTTGGATGGTTGGGATTGGATGAGGTGAGTAAATGGTTGGGGTTGGGGAGCAAGTGAGGTGAGGGTGAGGTAAGGCTGGAAGAGGGGCTGGAGCTGGGGCTGAGGCAGGGTCAGAGCAGGACG